CCCCCGCCTACCCCATTAATCGCACGGCCTCTGCATCTGTTACACAAGCTCTTTGTGCTGTTAAAACTACAACATGCAACAAGTGCAGCCTTTCACCTAATTGGCCCCGGAACAGAGTCACTTCTCTTCTCACTGCCCCAGCTGCTTCGTGCCCCGGGAGCCCAGTGAAACCTAGAACAAGGGCCACATAAAGCCTTGACAGTGGTACAGAGCGAGTTGCATAAGGATGATATCACCGATTTTTTGATAGGTTCCTTCCAGTGATTTGTGATTAAATTATGCAGTAATCTATGTGAACCCTCGGGAACATCAGAGGAAAAGTTCAGTGCGTAGACTTTATATCTGTGTACAGCAGCCGTTTCCAAAACGCACTTACCTTCTTACCAGGTCATCTGCCCTGAGAAAGAAAGTGCTCAGGCAATCATACACTTCCAGCCTCGAGTTTGTATATTTAGCCTGCTCTGCTTAGGCTATCCACCGCCTTAAGATATCAGCTCTGAAGCGTGAGCTTCCGTGGACTGGCAGGTCAAGCTTTTTATGTACAAAACTCTGACCAGTTTCAGTAACCTTAATGTATTTCTTTAATGGACCAGTCACCGGATGGACTATGACCATAAACTTGTACTGTGAATTACAAATAATCTATATCTTTATCTCTACAAGGTCATAGAAAATCATGGCTTTGAATCTAGCTCTGGACATAGAGGACACAACCTTCAATGAGGACACTGAATGAGCAAAAATTTTCCATGGGTTAGCAAACTCAATTCCTTCCCAAAATCTGGCTTTGTAGTTGATCCCTCCTACTTTCTGTCTGCCAGTAAAGTATCATTAGTGAAGTATTAAAAAAAGCATCCTAAGATATCGAGTAGTACAATGTTTTCTCATTCCCGTCTCTGTCTTGGTCAGTGGCCCTCTCCATCTTGTGAGACAACTCTGTCTTCTTCACCTTTGCCATCTCCTTCTATATACAATCATAGCTTGTGGTTTTCAAGTCCCAAGGCCCCTCACTTATCTTGCTGCCTATCAAAGCTCCAGACAAGCTGGTGTGAGCTGCCTAATACACTTTAGAGAGCTGCTCCTGTTCTTTACCAATGTCTACTGCAAGCTAGAAGATGCCATGCTGCAAGCACATGGACAAGGTTCATGTGTCCAAATTTTTACACATCATTACAATATTTCTTCCATTTGTACGCATTTCCTTTTATTAAACAGAAATACCTTAAATATGATACCATGTAAATGCAAAATGAACGCATCTGAGGTGTTCTTGTTCGTCCCTTTCATTCAGCTTCCTTTATGCCACCAGACTCCATCACAGCATCCTGCTTTTCAATGTTTCATTCCCTCTGCAGCTTTTCTGGGACAGGCTGCTCTCTTCATGAGCTCTCAAGTCTTACCTAGGCTTCCCTCTCAGTGTGTAGTGCTCTACTGCATCTCTGCGTCAATGAGGCTGCTCAGCCTTTCACTTTATCCAGCACCAAATCCTTCAGCCTACACAGATAAGTGATTTGCTGGCAAAGTTTCTTCCCACAAAACAGCAAGGATCAGTTTTGCTTATAGTGTGATTTTGCAAAGGATGTTGCACAAAGAAAGTTGGAACAGACTTACGTGCACAAAGTTTTGTTTAGCAGGGTCCATAACTGATGGCATACATAGACTTCAAAGTTACCAGGGGTAGGGGGGTACGGGAGGAGGAGAGAAGTGAGAGAAAAAGAGAGAAAAAGAAAACTCTCTTCCCAGTGGTCAGCCAGGGAGAGAAGCAAAAGATTTTCCAGATGAGTGTCCTCTCCTGGGCATCCTCTCCAGTAGAGCAGGAGGTCCCTAGGACATTTTCCGCCACAGTAACTATGTGGTTTTTCATCAAGACCTGCTCAAAGTCCCTACAGGTTATTTCTGCCTAAAAATGAAGTTATTAGCACTGACTGGAGCAGGCTTGGGCAGGTGCAGGATTTGCATGCTGATTGCTTGTTATGCTTTCTGTGGGAATATCACTGGGTAATATATATTGGATTTTTACATGACTTATCTACTATGTTATTTACTAGGCTCTAAAGCTAAAAAAAATTAAAAGCTTTCTTAAAATAAAAGCTACAAGGCAAAGGGTGAAAAAATAGGGTAAGAAAGGGTGATTCACATGTCGGTGGTGATCACTATCTAGGTGAAAACAATAGATGAAACAACATTTCAAAATCCACCTGTGCAAGGCAGTAAGGATAAGAGTACGTGGGACGCCACAGTAGAAGCATGGCTACATAAGCCTCCAGGTACGTGGTTACAAGTGAAAGACAGGCTATAGCGCTGCAGAGGGAACATCCTTAGCATCACAAAGGTTAAAACATCTCAGGCGCTGTGTAACCACACCTGTGGGACTACAATCCTGACATTCAAAGAACACAGCACAGAAAGCGAGGTGGTAAACTTTTCCACACTGCTGATGTATACAGCTGAGCTTCAGGTCCGCCTTAACGTAGCATCTTGTCTGACATTTTCATTACCCTTGTCAGAGGTCTGTTTTGAACTGAACTAAATAAAACTAGCAAGTCTTAGGAAAACATTCCTTTCATTCCTGACTTTCGCCACCCCATGCTACTGTTAAATATGGTGTTTAATATCCTTGTGCAGCACTAAGATTGGACAGGAGCAGAAGAAACATACAGCACGCCTTGGCATGAGGGCAACACAAGGGGATTCTCATTGGTATAGAAGGGATGTACGTTCTTTTACGTCACGCTCCATTCCTATAGCCTGTGTAGGGACCATGGATGAAGAGAAGGAAAGAAGTAAGAACATTTTAGATCTTCAGCTCCTTCAAGCCAATGGCAGGAGGCAGAAAGAGAGCATCCCTGTGCCTGCTCTAAATTATGGCTGGGGTCTGGACAGGAGCACAACAGGACTAGGATTGGAGGTGCTTCATGGGTTCACCGAAGGAGGTGGCCTCATGCGCTAGGTACAAGTTCCCTCCTGCAGCAGTGGGATATGATAGGAGGTTAGAGAGCAAATAATCGCTGTGAATTAAAGCAGTTGACAGTTAACCATATGGGTTCCTTCCCCTGCCTTGCAGGACGATCTCAGAACACAGCGCTATTGAAATACAACACAGGCGAACGCCTGAGCTACGGAAAGCCAGTGCTGCTCCAATCCTAGGATTTGGTCGTGCAACAGAAAACCACTTATGTGCTATAACTTCAGAGGTGCAATCTGTGCCCCAGCATATCTGAACAGCTTGTATACAAAATCAGCTTGGAAACAGCCAGCGCCACTACAGAAAGTAATAATAAACCCCCCGTTAATTGATGCAAAGCAGTCGCTAAGCAAATATGCGTATCAGCAGGAGAGCTGTGGGTCATGACTGCCTTGTCCTGGAGAGCTGCCACACATATCCTCAGACATGAGGAAGACAACAGTGAAAACGCGGTTCCGTTGTTTTTGCACTTCAAGAACTGCTACGCCTTGTGTAATCCAATGACAGATTTTTTTTATTATGAGGCATCTCATGGCAAAGAAAAGATGGCACTGTCCCACCTGTTAATAAAAGCATTGCCTGAAGCAGGACATCTCTAGCTGAGACTGCTGAGTAAGAGCATGAGCAGCTCTTGTGATGGAGGAAAGAATAAAAAGAAGTCGGACAGCCATGGAGTCCTTAACTCGAGAAGGCAAAATAGAGCAAAACAAGGCTAATTTGAGGCAGAAGATGGGAATCTTTCTAAGCCCACGCCTAGTCAAGAAGCAAGCTGGCGATTCTGAAAGAAGAAGGGGGGGCAAAAAAAACAAAGTCGGATTTTTTTTTTTTGTTTTTAAAGCAGAGCCAAAATCCAGATGGGAAGGCGGGGTGCGGGGGAAAGAAGGGGCAGCGGCGGTGCGTGCCC